TATAAAAATTCAAACTCAAAAAATAAATAAAAAGAGAAAATATCTAAACTTTTAAATTTGAGGGGTATAGAATTTTAGAGTTGTGGACGTGTTTTTCTCCAAGAAAAAAAAAAGGCATAAAAAAGGTAGAGATAAGATTAATGGAAGTCATAGTTTTGGATAGTAAAAGTTAGTAGGATAGAGGGAGAGAAAAAGGAGGATGAGTAAGGGAAAAACTTTTATGATAGATTTTGTAGTTGGGGATAATAAGGAAGAGAGAGAGAGAGGAAAAATGATGGATGGAGTGGTAGTGGATCTTGAGTGTTTGAAAGTAATTATTTAGAAAAAAGAATGACTAGTGAAAAATGGAGTAATTAAAAGTAGTGTGATTTGGAAAGAAAAAGATAAAAAATGATGAAAGAAAGACTTTTATAGTGAAAAAGTGTGATGATCAGCTGCAACTGAACTTTAATGACATATTGAGTGGTAGTGGCAACTCGCAGTAGCAGTAGTTTGTAAAATTTATTTATTAAAATTTATGAAATTTATTTAATGTATGAAATACTCATTCAAAGTATCAATGTATATAAAAAAAATTACTATAAAATATATGATAAAACTTACTTGAAACTCTAATATTTGGTATTTTTCCGTTTCTCTTTTCTTTCCTTTTTTTTTCCTCTACTATATTTTCAGAAAGATCTCTCTCCTCTCGAATTCTTGAATCTCTTTCTCTATATTTCTTTTCCCAATTGTTATTAAGGTTTTTCATAAACTAAAAATTTAAAATTTTCCTTTCATGTATAAAGTAACATTGATTTAAGGTTTTAATTATTTATAATATTTTATTTTTCTTTAATAAATTATTTTTAAATTTTTCTCACAAAATTTTGTTTGTTAAGCACTATATTTTCATTCTCTTTTTATAAATAAAATTCAGAAAATTAAAAATAAAAATAATTTTTTAAATAAAATTTAAGTATTTACAGTTATTTTAATCTTTTATGGTAAAATACTCACAAATTTTAAATATTTTTAAGTAAAATTTTTATTTCTAAATTTTTTAAATAAAATTTTACCTTTTTTTAAATATTTTTTATTTCTAAAATTTTTTAAGTAAATTAAGTCACAGATTTTTTTAATTAGGCAAATTCAATCTTGTCAAATTTCTTTTATCTATAAGTCTTAAAACATAATATTCTATTAAAAAAGTTAGAGATTCATGAAGAGTTGAAATATGAAATAATTTAAAATATGTTATAAAGCAACAAAAATTAGTGAAATTTTGATGAAATTGATGTATTTAAGTAGATGATATAATATTTGAAATTTTGTATGTTAATATTGATAAAATTTAAAGAAAAAGCTTCAAATGATACAGATTTAATTTGAAAAAATTGAAATACGTAAGTTGATTTAACTCATGGAAATTTTTAATTATTATTTTTATTTTTATAAATATTTATTTATAAGTTTTTACAAAATGGGTTTGATTCAATTTATGAATACTTTGAGTAAAAATAGCAATTTGAGAGTTTTAAGTTAAAAAAAAAAATAATAAAGTAAATTTTTGTAGCAATGAAAATACTTGAGAGCTTGAATTTGTAAAAAGATTATGGAAAATTAAGATTACATATTAATACTTATAAAAAGATAAAATTATAATTAATTCCACAATTTTTTAAAGATAAATATTAAGTGTAATACTTTTTATATTAGTAATATATACTATAATCAGAATTAAAATTTTATATCAATAATTTGTATAACAAATATTAGTATTAAAAGTAATTACAACAACGTTAAAGGACAACATACATTATCCAAATTTGTACCTGCACCTACGCTTTGTCTTTGTTTTTTTTAATATATGTTCTAAAAATACATGTTAAAAGTTCAAAATAGATTAGAAAAAAATATATAATTAAAACAAATTGATATAGATCAAACTTTTTTCCTGGGCAAACAATCCAGCTGGTCACGAGCTTTGACGGTGAATGTGCCATGGTTTGAAGGCAATGCTATGAACCAATTTAAAAAACAATGGTAATATTTAGACATTTTTACAACGTAAATAATTTTTAATATTTGTTTATTACTTTATATTACTTATCATATATAATATTATCTTTCTCCATCTACATGTAATGGGTGTCTATCAAACATTATTAAAAAAACATACTTATGGCATTCTGATATCACCTGGGCACAAATATTAATGCTTAATGGTGTTCTTCGATTGAGACAGGACCTAAGCTCATAGCTCCACTTGGGATCCACAATCAGTATAGGTGTGTGGTTCTCCTCCTTTTCGTTCTCTGTAACTGTAACCTGGACCTAATATCAAGGCTTATTTATTTTTTAATGTTTTTTAAAAAATAAATTTTTAAAATAATATTTTTTAAAAACAAATTTTATGTCTAGAGTCTTTTTTATCACGTTAAGACCTGTTTCGCATATTGTATGAATGAAATATATATTTTTTTATTTTTTAAATGCTATTTCATCTTTAATATAGACGAAACTATCAGAGTGCGCCACATGTCAACATCTGGTGAGTTTCGCCTACTGCAGAGACGAAACTCAATGAATGGTGCCATGTGTCATGATCTGGATCAATTTACGAAAGTAGTTAAAAAAAGAAAAAATTTATATTTTAATATTTAATTAAAATTTATTAAAAATAGAAAATTATAAAATTTAAGAATAAAAAAATTATATAATTTTTAATTAACTTAATTAACAACTACAAATATATTAAAAATATATATTGAAATTACACTATGTATAATGTATGACGCAAAAAAGAATATCTGCTAATAAAATTATAAATTTATAATGGCAGCATTGGAATTTAATGGAAATGTATTGGAAAAAAATATAATATTTAATTAAAATATATTAAAATAAAAAAATCATTATATTTAATTTAAGAATAAATTATTAAAATTTAGATAATTTTTAATTAAATTAATTAATAATTATAAATATATTAAAAAAATATAGTGTTAAGAATTTGTTAATCTTAGTTTAAATATCTATAAAAATTATAAAAAATACATATTTATTATATAAATTATTAAGATTTTTAAATATCACACCTAACTTACATATTAGTTTGAATAAAAAAAATTATAAATTTATAATTTTATTAGCGGGTATTCTTTTTTGCATCATACAGTATACATAGTATAATTTCAATATACATTTTTAATATATTTGTAGTTATTAATTAAGTTAATTAAAAATTATATAATTTTTTTATTCTTAAATTTTATAATTTTCTATTTTTAATAAATATTAATTAAATATTCAAATATAAATTTTTTTTTAACCATTTTCGTAAATTGATCCAGATCATGATCCATTACACCATTCATTGAGTTTCGTCTCTGTAGTAGGCGAAACACACCAGATGTTGACACATGGCGTAATCTGATAGTTTCGTCTATACTAAAGACGAAATAGCATTTAAAAAATAAAAAAAAATATATTTCGTCTATACAGTATGCAAAACAGGTCTTGACGTGGCAAAAAAGACCCCAGACAAGAAATTTGTTTTTAAAAAACATTATTTTAAGAATTTGTTTTTTAAAAAACATTAAAAAAATAAATAAGCCTAATATCAAATTCCCAAAACAAAATGTTAAATAAGTACTTCAAGTACACTGATTAAAAACTTTAAATAACAATATTTTATTAAAATACAAAATTACAGTTAATATTTATATTTTAATATGAATTTTAATAAAAAAGAATTATTGATTAGTCTCTTAAATACCGATTAATAAGACTCAATTAAAAATATAATATCAAACAGGTTATTGAATGGGTCTTGAGGGCCAAAGAGACGGTCCTTTGGCGGTCGAGGCTCTATTTTAGGTTGAGAGACAAAATTGGCTTTGCTTGGGAATAACAATACGCATAATATTAAATAAATACCTGCAAGAAGTATTTATAACAAGCAAGATAATTATGCGCTCTATAAATTTAAGTATACAAATATATAAAATTATGAGTATTAGTATATGTATTACAGTCCTTATATTTATTTATTTGCATATTATATACATATATATATAATGAGAAAATTTATATTTAATATTATATATATTAATTACAGTTTATTTATTTATTATGTGTATAATGTGCGAGTGACTTTTTTAGATAAAAAAAAAATTCTCAATCATTAGATTATAATAGATAGGTTTTAATAACTCATCTCTAAAATATACCTGTAAATTATAGTAAATATATGTAATATTAAATTTATATATGATTGAGACAAATGCGAGAAAATAGGTAATTATATAATATAAAGATGAAGATAAAAAAATTCATTAAATATAAAATCAGGTAGAATAATTATTTAAAAACGAATATGAAAATTTTCAGGATGGTACCCTACTTATTATCATCCTTAACTTTGATTTAAATGCCCATTGTAAAAGACGATAAATTATTGAAAGTGCATCGAATGTAGGTGAAAATGAGTTGAGTGAAGTAAGGTTTTATACAATAAAAGGAGAACAAAGTTTTCTTTCACTATTCAATTCGAGCTATAAGGCCTAAAGCCCACAAAAAGCAAGAAGAGAGGCCCGGGGTGGGTGGGTTGGAACTTGGAAGGGCAGTACTTGGCATTTAATAAAGATGTTGAAAATAAAAAGTCCCTTAGGTTTTACTAAACTCTTGACCAAAAAAAAAATAAAAAAAATAAACTGCTCGAATCATGGACCTAAAACAAAACTGCTTGAATCTTATCCCTTAAAATAATATATTTTTATTATCTTAATTTATCATGTCATTTTACAGTTTAATCAGTTATTTCTCCATCCCTCTTGGACAAAATCTAAGCAAAAATTATAACAAGTTTAGGATTAAGAATGTGTTTAAATAAAGAATTTGAATTTTTATTCAATAAATTCTTATCACATGAAAATTTATTACAAATTTAATTATAAAATATAGTTCAATAAGTTTAAAATGACAAACATACCAATTAACAAACTAAAAACTTACAAAAGTTATTCAAAATCTCTTTCAAATCTCTCCCAAAACCTACAATCAACTTGTTAATTCGAAGGAGTCAGCACTATGTTACAATCACATTGGCAATAGCCATCTTGTACTTTACGCTATTGTTCAAACACAAACTTGTAAAGGAAGCCGGATATCAGCGTTCCGTACCAATTTGGTAAACACCACAGTACATCCGAAAACGGGTAAACAGCTAGCCAAAATCTGATTCAGCCACATTCCAATTTTCTAATCAAGAAAGAATTTTCAAGGCATACTACGTGGGATCAAAGTTTGAATGGTGAAATTCGCACTTTTAAAACCATTCAAAAGTACTACAGCACATATCTACATTTGCTGAACAAAAGAGATCTACATCAAAAAGAAAAAACACAATTGCATTTATTCACTACTACTGCTTGGAATCCAAAGAAGGCTCCCTCGCATTATCCGAAAAGGCACTCCCTGAATCGTTGGATTTCTTTATTGCTTCAGAAATCCCATGTTTGCCACATACCTCCGAATAGCCCCCATTGTCTACCTTGGATACTCCGGACATTGATACAAATCCCATGGCAGCAATGCTGTTCGCAATCACATTAATATCTCTGGTTCCTGTATATAGACCACGGCTGCCAGCAACAAGTACGTGGTTCTGGTTTTCGCTGGGATTAGTTAAAATTGCTGGCAAAGCGTCCATCATCACTTGTTGGTTATCCTGGCTTGAACCGCTAATCAGCAATCTTAGAGTCTCTCTAGCTCCCTTCACCACAGCATCAGATTCAGGGATCAGTGGCTTCACAAGCTTTGGATGCAATGGCGGAATGTTAGTTGCCATCGCAGGGCCAGCACTCACAAGATAGCCCTGACCTGAAGAACACACATCAATTACTGGGACGTGAACAATTGGATCACACATTAATGGTGTGAAAGTGGGAATTTGCTGAGAAGTAGGCAACGAAATTCTGACCAATGGATCAGGTAGAAATGGAGGAAAGTCCATTGAAGAACTAAGATTAAGAGGCTGTGCTGGTTCCAACAGGCTAGCCGAGAGAGTGTTGGGTAATAAAGAAGCACCTGAGGGAAACGGCAGTGTTTCAATAGATGAGTCGGGAGATTGTGTAACTGCTGTAATGGAAGGACAAGTAGAAATCCCTGGCGGACACCAACAATAGTAGGGAGAAAAAAGGGGGGGCACTACAGAAGGGACTTCCCCATCCAGCCCAAGGCTTGATGGAACAGTAAGCTTTCCTAGAGATTCCAGAAAGCTTGGAGAAAAGGTAAGACTTTTGCTTACTTCTGAAGCTTTGTCTTGATCAGAAGTTGATGATAAATCCAGGATGTTTGCTGAATCATTCGTCAAGTTATCAACTGTTGGCTGGTGACTGTCACCACGACGCTTAATTTTCTCCCTGGCAGCAATCCTGTGAGAAGACAAGTTTCTTGGGGGAACTTCTTTAAAAGAACTTGATCTTGGACTAAGAATACTCTGGTAAAGTGTTGTATCTCCCTTCGCTGTCTGACCTCCAATATTCCGAGACCGGGGAAATTTTGAAGATGAAGGATGAGAATTTTCAGAAACACAAGCAACGGAAATAGCAGATGTTGAAGGACAAAATGAACTATCATGACTGCTTCCCCCTGTTGTCCCCACAAGAAAAGCCCGAAGCTGAGTTGCAAAGAAGTCAAGCCTTGACTTGCTAATGCCACTCAACTCAGCAATGGATGGTTTCCTCTGGAGCAAATCCTTCATCTGAATCAAAAGAAAATTAATTTATGGCAAAAAATAATAATATTCAAAACACTCCATCATAAAGGATAGAATAGGAAGAATGCAGAATAAGTTCAGATCTAATATCATACCATAATAAAAATTATTAAATTAAGCAACTGATTCCGAGCAAGAAAAATTGCAAAAATTACCTTTCCGAGTAATTCAGCTCCCAGAAGCTTTGACTTTTCGGAGCACCAGTAGTAAAAATTTCTGGTATCTGGAGTCCTTACAAGGAAGGATCGGCCAGAACTGTCAGTAGGGATTTCATCAACAGCAGCAGCACAGCATTGAGATTTGCTGTTAAGGGTGAATAGCCTCTCAGTTTTACCATCATCCCCAATGAATGAGAGACGAAGATCAGAACTTGGCAGTAGTACAAGTGTCAAGTTACCCCTGTGAACAAATCGAGATGAAATGATACCTTATTAAGGGATAATTAATCAGACAAGAAGATATTGTAACATAATTTTAAAAGTTCAAAACCTTAACCCAATAGCACAACAGAAATCTTCCAATAAACAACGTAACTTCTAGTCATAACAATTTAAACCAAAAAATAATACAAGCAATCAGTCCTCCTAACACAAGTACAGACCTTTCCTACACTAGAAACATAAATATAAACCCGAGTCTTTCCTGGTATGCATCTAAATAAAAAATGAACACTGTGAACATCAAAGTTATTCCTGTCAACAATATTTTCCCAACAAGAGTATAAAATTTCAAAAAGTTGGAAAATGTGGGTATCCTTAAGAGAATGTGTTTCTACATTGAAATATCATACTAAAAACTAATTATTTTTCTGAGCACAAAGCCATTGGCTTCCCATTCCAACTTCAAAATCATCATGACCAAAAGGAAATATTAAAGTGCAATTTTAGTCACAATAAAAAAATCAGTCTAAAGCATTGAGCCCTTTCTATCATTTTCAATTCAGATAATCCACTTCATAGAGAGTATAAATAATTCTAACCACTTTATTTTGCTTATTACTTTAGAACAAGCATAAAAAATCAAAATCAAATAGTTAGTGAAATCCATATTAAATATGGGCTAATTCAGACAATTATCAGAAGACACTGACATACAAGATCATATTGAAGAGGAATTTGGGAGAGATGGGAGGGGGCTTCACAAAAACAATGTGTTTGACATATAACCATAGCGCATATAACTTGCAATATCAAATACACAGCAAACCAAAACAAACAGATAAACAAATAAATGTACTATTGGAAGATTGTGTGTACCCTAGTCAAGTGTTTTTTTTACCCCACAAAAGCTTCAAACCCATAATGATCTCAAAATCTGAACAGTGATATATATAATATAGGATCATGAAACTACCTTTACTTCCTCTTAATTCAGAGATCATAATAGAATACGCCCAGTTACCTACAAGTCAAAAGACATTTTTACTTGGAAGAATGAACATATTACCATCAATAAACTAAACTATAGACTCTAGTAATTATTATCTATGAATCATCCAACAAATTACACACTTCAGTAAGATTATGTTACAAGCATGTTACGAAAATTCAACAGCATCCAATCATAAAAGAATTTTCATACTGCTGCAGACAGGTAAACAAAATTAATGGAAACCAAAAATAATATAATAGATATAAGTTCACAATTAACAGATATAAATGCTAGTCAAATCTATAGAATAGCCAAGTAGAAAAACAAAATGTACAAGTAATTGACAATAACATGTAGAGGGATCAATTACACAGCTATGAGTAGGGAAACAGATATAGAGATATAATTGTGCATATATAAACTTAATTAAAATGATAAGAAATTCTACAGGGAAATCAAAATCCTTAAATCTTAATAACAGATTTCACAATTCCTTATGTACAGCGTCAATTATGTGGTGTGGGTAAGCTTTACCCCACAGGCGGGACTGGGCAAATCCCAAAAGGAATTCGACCAGGATTGGCCCATTTGACCTAGAAAAGAAAAACAAAGTTCCCAATACTTTGACCCAAAAGAAAAGAAAGTTGCAATAAAAATGCTTCCTCTTCGCAAGTGTGGACGCAGATAAAAGGAAACTATATGTGCATTTCAATCGCTCAAAATTATATAGCTGAAGGCAAAAACTATAGCTCATCTCTAAAGAAGGAACAGACCAAATCCCTTTTCCTCCGAAAATAATGATGGTCAGGAAATGATGGAAGGAAATATGCAGCCTTATTACCAACAAGGGAGCAAGAGAATAAAAATGACCCAGTATGATCATAAAAATTGAAAACAAAAAGTAAAGGGCTTGAATTGAATGCTCCATAAGGAATGCAAATCACAGTCATAGGTAACTTGCGAGTATTTTACACTATCTAACCCACATAGACACTATCTAACAAGTATTTTACATCTGTGACATACTGTAAAACATCAAAACTTTACTAACACCATGAATTAATTTATAGGAGCAGCCTGCACAGGCTATAAAGCATAATTCTAAACACACAATGATTTTCCAGTCGATAATTTGACTGCCTTGGCATCAAAATGCAGAATGACGTGTTTTGATCGGAGTTGGTATTTGTGGAACTCAAAAAAAGGGGACGACGACAAACACAAAACAAACAAAAAGGAAAAGAAAAGGAACGTAATATGCTAACAGTAACTTATACTCGATCTCACAGAATGCATAATGCAAATAACTTATGCAAACGATCCACGTACTACGCAAAATGAAAAAGTCGAAGAAATTTATCGCATCTGGAGGGATGGGGGGAAGAAGATTTCCACTTCCACAGATTTAAAATTGAAATTACCTATTGGAAGTAGGACAGAAGCGAGTTCCTTCCGTACTGATCTTCCCAACGCGGATCGAAACAAGAGGCACGCAGAAGCATCTAGCTAACATTCCAACCTCAGATGGCTCGAAATGCTGTATAGCGGAAAAAACACAACATAAAAACTCCTTCAGCAAACATAAAGAGAAAGCGACCAAAAAACAGAAAAGAGTTTTCGCAATCATCAAGAACGAATCTCACCTGAGTTAATTGAGTCAGGAGAGGATCTTCAGCGACGCCACAGGCTGTGTTCATCTTCAGCAAGGGCTTCAACCGTTCATCAGCGCGACAAGCTCCCATAACTTGCATATCAAGAGCCTGCAGCCACTGTAACAGCCGGTCTTCCCTATTACTCTGCTGAATCAACAGATCGCCGTCGCCTTCGTCGACGAGAATATCCGTCAACCGCTCCGTAAGTCCAACCTGCCTCCTCGAACCACCGTCCTCTCCAGCAGAAGTAGAGCTCACGCTAGATCCACCTTCACCGCACGAAGAGGCACCGTCCACAGACGAAGAATCGTCGAAATCCTCACCGTTCGATGCATCAACGGGATCAATCCCGTCGTTGTAAAACAAATCACGTCCTCTCGAGTTTGCCATAACAAATTTGATTTAAAAAATCAGATAGAAAGCAGAGAAACACGAAACCCTAGCTTCCGTTACAAGATTGGAATCAAATGCCTCGAATCACAATCGAGAAATGACGCAAAACAGATTCCAGAGATTGTAAAATGAAGCCGATAATTGATAAATGATTTATAGAGAGAGAATGCCAACGGTTTTAGAGAGAGAAATAATATCTTGAACAGGTGGTAGCAATGCCCGAAATGGAGAAGATGAGAAATGCCTAGTTGTTACATAAATAGTAGACGCGCCAGGGTGACGTGGCGGACGTGAAATGGTTTATAGAATGAGGTTTGGGCATTGCTTGAGATCCAGGCGCAGTGTTTGGTGGGGTCCTTTTTCCACGTCAGCTTTATGTGGGTCCAGCTTTGAAGGTGAGGCGGTGCCACGTTGGAGCTTTGGCCGACCCTTCTCTGTGATTAGGTTCTGAAAACGACACCGTCGAATACGGACGCTGATAATGATGATGGCCACCCTGTGCAGGGCCAGCGAGCAGCGCTTTGAAGAGAAGTTTGTGTACATATTTTTTCCTTCTATGTACTTTTTATCACTGCAATTTAAATTGTGTGCCGCAAGATTAGTGTTTAAATTTGAATTTTCTCTTAAAAATTTTCATTTAATGGATATTTAGATATTTCTAATAGTTTTAGGAACTTTTTATTACTATAGTTTTAGGATATAAAATGCTTTTAAAAATATAAATTCTATGTAAGAAATGATAAAATTGAAATTACTTTATAAAATGTGATATAAGAGTTTACACGAAAAGATTGAGATTTTTTTTATTTTATATACAGTTTAATATTTTAATCAATAAATTTTGGTAAGGAAAAATATTTAAAACTGTTTAATTTAAAAAATTACAAGCAAACAATAAAATTTTAAAATATTTAGGTAATAAATTTGATGACATGGACAACTTTATTTAATTTTTTAAAAACAGACATACTTAATTTGAAATTTTTAAAAGATTAAAGTTAAATATGGTTTAAAAATTATGTTTTTATATTGAGGTTGTCCATCTAAATTAGAGTTCTAATTTCTTACGTTGCAGAAATTCTTTTCTGCTTGACACTAGTCTAATTACCTCTTAATGGTTATTGTGTGCAATTGGTTGAAGATTGAATTTGGTGTTTATTTAATAAAATTTTATTTTACAAATCTGATCGTAAAATATTAAAATAAGTTTAAAAATTATAAATAATTTTGTAACTTTTTTTTTTAAATTAGGCTCTTTATGATAAAAAAAAAAGAATTTACTTAAGAAATGTTTATATGTGAAAATATAAATTTATTTAATATTTATTTTTATGAATTATTTAAAGGATATTAATTTGAATTTCTTTTGTTTGGGAAGAAAATAAATAAATAACATCTTCATTTTTAGTATAATAAATATCTTTAATAAAAAAAATCATTTTCGTGTATCTTTAACATTAATCTTTAAAAAATTATTTAGTGATGATTATTTTTAAGTATTTATAAATATTTAATAAAATAGTATTTATTTTATTAGGAATGAAAATAAATAAATAAAGTTTTCATGTTTTATATGATAGATATTTTGAATGAAAATCACATTCTTTTAACTATAATGTTAATCTTTATGGTAAATAATTAATATTTAAATTTTTAATATATAAATATTTAATAAAATATTATTAATACATCCATAGACACTAAACTATTTAAATTAGTATATTTAATTCATGTCAGTCAGAAAAAAAAAAAGGTTTATACGTTTTTGAAGTGTGATGAACATAATATAATTGTTAAATGTTATTTAAAAATACTAATCCAAAATTTTGTAAATTTCTTTCAACATGATATTGAATAATATTTTTTTGTGAAGTGGAAATAATATTAATACATTAAAATGAATAATTCTTTTTACATATTTAAATACTAATGCATTTAAAAATATAATTAAAAATTTGAAAATTAATATTTTCTTCTTTTATGTGTACAATTATTACAATTTAATTTTTCTTACAATGAGAATAAATAATAAATTATAATAATTGGAAATAAAAATATTCACAGTTGTTTAGTTCCATTTTGATTTACAAAGTTATTTAAATAATATAACAAAAATAACATTTTGTTTAATTAGTTTTTTTAAAATATCATTTAAACAATATCGATTTGGTTTGAATCAGATTTTTCAATTTTTATTTATCATTAAATTATTGTATTTTTAAAATTATCATTTTTATTCAATAAATTAAATTTAGTATATTTAAAATTTTAGAATAACTAATAGCTCAAAAATAAAAATAATTTTATTAATAAATAATTAAATAGAAAAATAATAACAATTAAAGAATAAAATTATTGATGGAGAAAAAATATTTAATTTTTAAAAAATTAAAATATAGAATAAATAAAAGTGATGTACTAGATATTTATATAATATTATAATAAAAATGAAAAATTATTTTAATTATAATAAAAAAACAATATAACATTGTTATAAATGCAATTTAGTTCGGTTTTAAGAATAGGATAAAAAATAGACTAAACTAAAATTTAAAATAAATTTTTTAATTTTTTAGATCAGTTTAATGATTTAAAAATAATTTAGTTTAATTTTGAAGACTTTTATTTGAATTTTTTTAAAAAAAATTCTTAACATATTATTTATTAACATAAATTATCTTTGATGTTATAAATATTTGTTTTTTACGAAAAGATTTTAAAAAATATATACCCAATTTCACGGCTAAGCGAGAGAAAAATGTTCCAGGGTCTTACTTCTTCTTTTTTTAATTTTTTGCCTCAAATAATATTTTTTTATCTCTCTTTCTTCTACTTTCTTCCTTTATATTTGCATAAATGTAACCCAATGTTAATGCTCTGTTTGTTTCATTTTAAAAAAAATTATTTTATGATTTATTTTTTTAAACTATTCATGGATGTCATTGGTTTGAACTTATTTTAATAATATAATATTTTAAAAAGACTGTGTTTTTTAATAGCCTTGTTTATTTTATAATTTTTAAACATATTTTAGTAAAAAATATATTTTGCAAACAAACTGCCCTAAATTATTGTACCCAGAAAATTTTTTTTATTGTGGTTGCTATCAGTGGTTCTTTGTCTGGTCTCTAGGACGGACCAAATGTTGTTTAAAATTAAAAGAGACTGATTCGATTAAAAATTCAATCAGAGGACTCGGTTTCACAAGCATGTCTTCATCGTAGGCCCCTTCTATCGAGTGATTGGCGTGGACATCAATTCATTTATTTCTAATTTGTTACTAAAAGAATGATTCTGTTGGCAGAATGCACATGAATTAAAAACTAAAAATATTGAATACGTTCAAATTTTTTTAAATTAATTTTCTTATTTTTATTTAATATTATTTGTTTTAATCTTTTATAAATATCTTAAATACATCAGTTAATATTTAGTAAAATTTCTGTTTAGTGAACAGTGAATCAAGAAAATCAACAAGATCAGTGTGTGTTTAAGTATATAATTTAATTAAGTGCAAAATTAATAAGTTCTTAGTATATTAAGGTTTTTTCATAAATTTAATCATAAAATTTAGTGAAATAATTAAAATAATAGTTATAAATTATTTTCATAATTTGTTTGTAAAATACTGGCACATTTAATTTAGAATGAAATTGAATCACGTTGAATAAAAACATCAATTTTTAATATATTTATTTAAAATCTGTGTTGAAATGTATAATATGTTCAAACTTTTTTAATAAGATTTTGTTTTATTTTAACTAATTGACAAAGTGAATTAGAATACTTGGAAAGAAAAAAACTAGAGCTTATACGTTATTTACTCTATAATTTTAGAGAAAAAATTGGGCAGAAGTAATTTCTTACTGCATTTTTAAATAGATCATCAGTTAGATAATATTTTTAAATATTCATGTATTATGGTGTGGTTAGATTTGTCAACGCGCATATTGTGTGTACACACAACTATTTTTGTGAAACATTATAAAAATGATTAATTAAATCCCAAGTGTATTTTTAATTAAATAGTTGATAGTTTGTAGGCGAGCTAAAGTCTCAACTTGAACAAGACACTTGAAAAAGACACAACTGCAAATTACATTGTATGGATTCCAATTTCTTCTGCACCAGTGATTTCGTTCAGTTATCATTTCCATGATATTCTCTATCTCTAAGAATTATGATAGAGAGAAATATTTTATTTTATTTTTCATTCAAGAGGGAGAGAAATCCCTTAAACATGTCTTTTGGAGGCAATCATCTAACCAATCATTTACCCGCCCCGTAATAGAATTAGTTTCTGTATTTGGAAGTAGAAATAAAAAAAAATTGAACGAAGAGGAGAGGAACTCCAGACTTTTTTATTTGTTTTACTTAATTTTAATTTTAAACATTTTGCACATACTACAAAAAAATAAAAAATAGCTTTTAATGATAAAGATATTATGATAAAATATTAACTTTTTGGTTAAAATGAATTTTTTATCATTATTGTAAATATTTTAATGTATTTTTTTATTCTTTATTTTCTTTTTTATTTATCAAAGCAGGTAGAAGATTTTTTTTTTATTCATTTGAATAACACATTTTTCACTCAAACTTTACTATATTTCTCACTTTTCCCCCCTGTTTTATCTGTAGTCCAAACATATTGTAAAATCAATAAATAACGCATTTTTATTACCACCTATTAATTTTTCAAAACAATAAAATAAGAGTTCGGCCTCGCCCGATTTATTTACGCTCTTTAGAGTTGACATTTAGAAAAGCCTCTTTACAATGGGTATATCCCCTAAAATTTTCTTAACTGATATTCCAGAAGTTGCTTCGTGGGCCTTTCAGAAAAATGTTAGGAAAATTTTTTATGTGCTATAACGCCTTAACTATGAATGTTATGAAAAAATACGTTGTGAAGTAAATAGTAAACATAAATAATTTCCTTCGCAACTTTTCAAAGCAGGAAAAAAAAGTCAATAAAAAATGTATCCTAGGTGTTTTCTTGTGTAATTTTCTTGTCCTGGGTGTCTTATCTTATTTTCTCCTCAAAATTTATTTTTCTATACCCTAAAACAAGAAGAAAAGAAAAAGAATCGAGCGTAAGACAACCCCTAATTGTTCTTATGAAATTAGATGAGAATAAAGGTTCGACCTTTCTCTACGAAATAAACTGTCGAATATGGGAATAAATGGTGCCCTATAGCTGGTGAAAGCTTGATTCCCTCACTTTCATTTTAAATGTCGAAAATGTATAGAATAATAAATCATATCCAGGTATATGCTTCTCTTCCAAAAAAGGGCTCTGCAGAACCAAGTTCATGTCTCTGTTTTACTTGCTCTTCTTTGGTTCTTTCGTATATTGAACTATCAAAGCTTCAACATCCTTCCAGAACAGGCCCTCAACTAAGACTCCATCCTTGGTGAACCTGCAAACCAATGAAAAATAGACTGATGCATTTTGATCTCCAAAAACACAGTGCAATAAGTGCATACATACTGATTCATATGTCAATTGTCGCTGTCTGAACAAACATAACCCAAGGGTTGGAATAGCAGGAGAGAGAGATGTACCACTCAGTAACACTTTTGGTAAAATGCACTGGTTCATTTGCAGAAATTGATTTTGGATCTGCACTTGCTATAGTAAGTGTGTACATGTCAGAAAATCTAGGCAATTTGGAGGAAACAACCAAGCCAGTGGTGGTCAAAGAACCCTGTAAAAAAGGAGGAAAATTATAGGTTGGAATACATGATGATAATGTAAGTTAGGCAGCTCTGGAGCTGCTCCTGAAAGGCTAAAAAGCATAATTTGATTCGGGGACACGGTTCAAAGACATTTAGATGAAAGAAACAACATATTCCAGTATAGCCACTACAAAAGGTTAAAAAATAAAAAATATATACCGTTAGTCCACAAAAAAACCATAAATATAATAACTTCAAAACAACACTGGAACAAGGGCGAAAAACAGTTTTTGGCAACCCATTAGCATTATGCTGCTATATCACCCAAACTGATGTTTGCAACGGCACTTCTGTGGCAGCCAAGGACTGTTCCGGGCTGCAACGCTGCTATAGTGCACATCTAATTACTACAACTATTAGGATAAAATTTCGAACCTAAAGATGTATTATAATCAGTTTGCTTTTGTTTATAACCCAGTGAGTGTGAAAAATTTATCCAGTTGCAACTTTTATAAAACTTAATATGAAATTCAACAACTGAAGGATAAAGAGAACATAATATAACTATACCAATACATGATAAAAGTTCGTTGCAATCCTTTCATGACACTACAGCATCAAACAATTATAAATAGCTTATCAAACTGATATTAATTTCAACTATCTGTCAACTTGATGTATGCCCATTTAATACACACATCCACTTAGTGTCTAAAAGGATTATAGAGCTAACATGGTCAGGATTAGATTATCATATGTATCTAAAGGCCCATACTATGACACATTGACACAAGTCCAACAAACTAACCATACTAAAATATTTACATCATTGCTCTATCAGGAGAACAAAAAAAAGTTATTGCCAAATTAAACAAAAAAAAAAGGCATTTTCCTTTCTCTCTTTCACTCACACTCACACTCACACACACACACACAAAATAGATAGGTTATTCCTCTCCATAAATGGGAAGATGAATTAAAATGGTCAGATTCAAAGAGAACCCAATCAGTGCCCAAAAAAGGGAGGAATAGAACATCCAGAAATTGTTTTACCCAATTTGAATATACATTTAATTATTTAAATGATGAAAAAAAAAGGTCTATATCCCCTGCAATTTTTATTAATTGAAACCAATGGATCATAAAAAATCATCACACATTCTAAAGATCATGTTAAACATTAGGCAAAGCAGTGAGCAATATAGATTACATGTGTTTCAAAGGTATTCTACAATTTCCAATCCAACACCAAAGCATTGATATATTGTTATTTACCGACCCAATAAGGGCAGTAGAAGAACATCCAAAGCAATGCAATTAGGAAAGTAAAACACAGCGTATATTCTCCATATGTACCAAAAATCTCTAGCTTAAAGATAAAGTGCCTTAGCTAAGTTAACAGGTACTTACAGCAGGAGGGTAAGTAAACAGAATGGCATTTTTCTCCTTAGTGTATATGATCAGCTGCAAGAGCCCATTGAATATTACATACGTGCAAAAGGGTTAAGGATCACACAGAATAAAAGCAGAATCAACAAAAATTATAAACATCAGCAATCGCATTTCACTTTTAACACAAAGCTCCAAAGTCATGATAAAATTAAAATTGAATAATTATTGCATCCAAAAAACTACTTCAACCTAGAAGTCTCATTTTCCACTATTCTAATCACAACCATCATCCCAACAAAAAAAAAAAACTCAAATCAAATAGAAAAAAAATAAAAATCCAGCAGTTCCATTTCCAAATACCCTTAACTTGAGATGTTTCCTCATCCAATTATCCCACTCAAACAAAAATTAAAACATCACAACGCAAAAAAAAAAAAAAGGGGGGGAAAGGATATAAGGCGATGCAGGCAATGAGAAAATCCCTATTCTCAGGGAACTTCTTTTTATAAAACTGGGCGAAGAGAGCAACGACGATGATAATGGCCCCAATGAAGAGCCTGGCGTTGCTCAATCTCACGTCTTCCACATACCCACGACTCGTTACTACCTACATCAACCCCAAATTTGAGGCACTTCAAGTCCAATTAGTTAACCGAAAACGCAATAAAATACGAAATTAGATTTAAGAAAAAAAAGAAAGTTCCAATGTCGAAGAGATCGAAAAGGGGTTAGGGTTTAACGGACCTCAGAGACAGATTCGTCCAGGATGTGCTTGATTGAGTGGTGATCTAAGAGATTGGCCTTCTTTGGAGCTTTGGACGCCATTTCTGATTTCTTCGCTCTCTCTTTTGTAAGACTTCAATTGACCCCAACAAGGAAGCACCTCGGCGTTTCAACCCTTCAATATCAATAGCAGTTGCTACTTGCTACTGCCACAACCGGTGCGTAATGCGCACTCTCTCCTTAAGCAAAAAGGCAAAATATTATTACTGATATTTTCTTAATAGTTTTAAATTACTCAAAATATAAAATATTTAGTAGAATTGGATGAGTTTAACATTGTAAGAGTTTTAATATTTAATTATTTAAAAACAAATAAAAAGAATAATAATTAAGAGGATATCTAATTAATTTTAAGGCTAATTTTTAATAAACTAGTTTTTATACACTATCAATGAAATTTTATTTGCACTGTCGCTCAATTATAATACATTATAATGCGATTTTTATATTAATTATCATTTATATCAAGTATTTTTACTGAAATGACAATTGAATATTGAGTGATCATGTCAAAATTATTAAACTTGATAATTATAAAAAATTATTTTTATATAATAATTAATAATTAAATAAAAATGTAAAAAAAATATTTGCACTATTCATATATTTATATCACATTAATAGTAATTTGCCAAATTCTTGATCTTTATAAAAAGAATCTTTAAATATAAAATAATTTAAAATAGAAAATATCATTTCATGTAATTTTTAATGTAGAAACTTTTATTTAGTAAAACCTTATAGTTTTTATTTCAAATAAATAAATGATATTTGGTAGGGTTATGAATTATTTAGGTAAATGTTATTTAAATGAGTTTCCTTAATTCTTAATTGTTATCGTGGGTGTATCTAAAAAAGGTTTGAAGGAGATCCGGATTGTCTCCAGTTTAGGCGGGAACTGGACCTTCAGTTCTTTTTTCGCTTAAGCGAAAATGAGTTATTTTCGTTTAAAATCATGACAAAATGGCTTAAGCCAATTTTCATAAAACAAATAGCTTAAGCGAAAAATGGACAGAGAGTTTTAATTTTCACTCAATTTTCTCTTTTCCTTCCCCCTAAACATAACATTCCCTCTTCAACCTCCATATTCAACTTTCTTTTTTCTCTTATACTTAACTCTTCTCTTTCCCTCCTAACTCACTTTTCCTTCAACCTCATACCTGACTCCTCTCCTCCTCTTCTCATTCTCACCTCACCCAATAACTATCTTTCCCTCTTTTATCTATACTCAACTCTTCAATTTCCCCTTCTTTCACTGTCAAAATTTTTTTATGCAAAATTAGTTTAAGTTAATTTTTCTGGCTTAAGCGAATTGTATATTCGTTTAAGCAAATTATTTTATCTTAAGTGAATTTTGTATGTTTGAAGATATGAAGGCTGAGTGTAGAGAAAAGAAATAATTAAGAATGTATGTAGATAAGGAGAGCGAGTGATATAGTAATGACGGTAAAAAAAGATGAAATTGAAGAGTTGAGTATAGATAAAAGAGGAAAAGATAGGGTTCTTAATTTTTTAGGCAAATGTTATTTAAATGAATTTTCTTAATTCTTAATTGTTATCGTGGGTATATCTAGAAAAGGTTTGAAAGAGGGTTTAAAAACAAGTAACAAAAAAAAAAACACACTACAACATATTAAAAGGAATAATGTTAAATTAATTCATATTATAATTTAAATCACAACCGAAGGTTTATATTAAAATAATAAATAGCAACTCAGAGTCAATTTAAAATAGTAAAATATAGTTAGAGATTTTTAAAATGGCCACATAATCTTCAAACACACTTTTAATATATACAACGATAATTATTTTAAGAATATTTAAAAAAAGATTTATGAATTTTTTTTTAGACAAAAGCATTTTTAATAATTATATATTAATAATATTTTAAATTTATTTATAAATTAATTTTTATTTAATGTATAATTTAATGATTGATATAATTTATATCTTTTTAAGTTGATGATTTTTTTTTTAGTTTTCCATTTGGTTGCATAACTGGATGTGGTAGATGAATTTATCATTAAAAATTATTTGTATGCACAACAAATCAAACTCAAAATATTATTTAAGATATACCTAAGTGCCTGTTTCTCAAATTAACTTGTGTTAGTAAGTTAATGAGTTTTTTAATATCTTAAATATTAAATGACATTAATATCTTAAAATATAAAATATTGTAAAAATATCGTGTGCATGTGTCACTATATTATTGAATATTTTATAAATGGTAATAATGTAAACAACATTGTTACTTAAAAAAACGTTTCATCTACGGCTTCATTTATTAATTTTGGTATAATTAATTAAAATGTCATTTTCATATATTCAATTAATAATGATTCATTTTTTTTATTATAATAAATAGTTTTACAAATTTAATGTAAAATTTTTTGTTTTAAAAAACTAAGATTAATAAAATAATTTATGGTTGGAAAAGACTGAGTTCATTTGTTTCAAAATTTCATGAAATTTTTACTTTACTTTAAAGTAAATTAATTTTAAGAATTTTAGCGTCTTTGTTTAAGAATTTTCAAATGATTAAAATTTTAAATATTTTTGAATAACCAAAAAACTATATTTTGAGAAAAAAATTTAAATGAAGGTACCTTTTAAAAATCGTAAACAAAGAAAATAAAATTTTGCTTTTCATTGAATCTCTAAAACATAAACTATATTTTAAGTGCAGTCTAAAAGATAACTTTTCTTCAATTCGAACATGGTTGTTTTATATGTGATCTAAAAAGAAAATTAAAAAATTTAATAAATGGATAAAAAATTTTAGAAATAAAATTAACATAAAAATTATTTAGTTAAAAATACAATATTTGGGAAATAATTTTTGAAGGATAAAAGAACATAGTTTTTAATTTAAAAATAAAAAAATATGTCATTTATAATAATAAATATATAATTAATACATTAAATTTGTGTTATTATATTAATTTATATATTTGATTTTAACATTATTAATTTTAAATATATTTATTTAAAATAAAATAATTTACTTCCTCTTCAAAATTTTTTCTTCTTAAATAAATTTTTAATTATTTTATTTTATTCCCTAGATAAAACTAAATTCTAGAAGAATCCTAATTGGTTGGATTTTAAATTCAAAAAGATATGTTCAGAAAAAAATATAACAAAAGGCAAATCTGAGCCAAAACTGTTGAATTATTTAGAAAATTTAATTAAAATTCGTGGATATTATAGGATTTTTATTACATTATTATTTAATAATGTAGTTTTATATCAGCAATAATTATTGACTTTTATAATAACTCAGAAGTTTTCTCTAGGAGACAAAATTATTTATTAAATTTAAATATATTTTTAAATAAAAATTGAATAATTTTGTATAATTATTATTATAATATACATATATTCTAATAATTGATTATAATATATTTTATATTAATTAAATTAAACAAATAGATAGAATTTTTAAATTTAAAAAATATAAAAATTCAAAATTTAAATTTTAAAATATTTGTATCATTAATGACAAAATTTGTAATTAAATATGATTGCATTAAATAGATTTATTTTATATTAAAATACATATTTTCATATGTAATTAAACGTAAAAGGATAATAAATTTATACCCTCTCACATTGGAGAGTGAATTACGCTTTTAATGTAGATGAAAAGTGAGTTACATGAGATAAATTAAATTTACTAAATATATAACTTTTTAGAGTTATAACTCACAAATATATATATATATATAGCAATAAATTAATTTAAAAGATATATTTATCGTGTATTTTGATTAGTTGATAATATAATAAACAATATTTTATATTAAAAGCACATTAAAAAATTTATTTTATTAATTTTAAAAATAATTTTACTCACTATAAAATTAATTTCTATAACTTTAAAAGTTACTTAAAAGGTAACAAGAACATACAAATTAATTTTTCTTTTTGCAATCAGGATTTTAATGAAATTCAAACAAAGCACAAGGTATCGCTTAGGGATTATCGCCATAGCCAGAACATAATTTTATAGCTATACTTCGCATCATTGAGGGGTAAATTATTTTGCTAAAGCTCTAAGAACTCGCTTACCATCTCAGGACTGCTGTGAGGAGTTGGTCTTTCAAACCAGAGGTATTGTTTTGTCTTATGTTAGATGTTTCTTTGTACTTGAGAATTTTGTGAAAGATGTTTCCTAGCAGGTTGAGAATATTTCTTATGGAAAAACTTTGAATTTTGATAAGAACCCTTATAAATTGTTTGTGTTTTTTTTTTTATAGAAAATTATAAACAAATATTTAGAGAAATTTTAAATAAAAAATCTAATTGCATTGAAAGACAAACTGATTTTACAAATAGTGTCCATTTAGTATGTGATTTCTTTTTTTTTTTTCTTTAGTATTTTGTAAAAGATCGAGTGTATGTTTGTTCTAACAAATTGAAGTTAATTTTGGTGGACAAACTCAGAAATTTGATAAAACTTACTTTAATTGTTTGCGTTTTATTGAGATTTGAAAGTATTTTCTCTGTAAATAATTTTTATAAATATTTCAAATGAAAACCTAATTGTACTCAAAGATAAACTATTCTGATAAGTAGCAATTGAGTGCGAATTGATTTGTGATTTCCCAATTCTCTCTTGCGTGCTTCACACAAAATCATATGTATGTTTGACCTAACAAATTGAGGTTAGTCTTGATAGACAAACTTTGAATTTTGATAAGGACTTACTTTAACTATTTTGCGTTTTTTTTTAATGGATAGATTTGATAGTGTTGCTATCTATAAATATTTTATAAACAAACTTAGTTATAGTCTAAGACAAATTAGTCTAACAAAGAGTAGGTTCTTTTTTATTTTTATTCTTAAATTCTCTCGTTCAATATTCTGCAAAGGGTTGTGTGTTTGGCCTAGTATATTGAAGTTAGTATTGATAGACAAACTTTGAATCTTGAGAGTGACATCCATTAATTGTTCGTGTTTTATTTTTATTTATTTATTTATTTTATTTTTTTTTTGAGATTTTTAAAAAAGAGGGAAAGAAAGAACGAGAATTAAAACATTCTTTAATGTGAGAAACTATGTTCATAAAAATTCTCATTTTTATTTAAAATTTCTTAAATTAAGATTATTATCAAATTAGTCTTCTCTCTCTTTTTCTTTAAACAAAACTTTGTTGATACAGAGATTTAAAATTGTTTCATCTCTAAATATTTTACAAATAAATATTTAGAAAATTATCAAATTAAAAGTTTAATTACAGTCAAAGATAAATTAGCCTAACAAGTAACGAGTACCTTTTAATTTGCGATTCTCCAATTCTCTCGTGTAATACTATACAAAAGATCAAGTGTATGTTTAATTTAATTTATTTTAAGAAACTATTTCTTAATTTTTTAGAAAACTTTTAAAAATAAGTGATTATATCTCAAGATCAAAATGCACTATTTTTATCGTGTATTCGTGATGCCCATTAAGCTTTTTCTAAAAAGCTTGATTCTAAGCTCTATTTTGTTTTATTTTCTGTAATGTACTTTTTTCTTTGTTAGTTCATAACTATTTTACATCATTTTTGAATTCCTTCCTTCCATTATGACTTGGTAAGTTTAATTAAAATCAAATATTTTTTTGCTTCTTCGTGAAGATGAGCATGGAGAAAGAGCTATCACAGGGTATACACAATCCTCTTGTTAGTCTGCAACTGAATATTCTTCATGCTGAAGGCATTGATGAACCCAATCTTCACCCTTCTGTTGGCGACAGGAGTTATTGCGTGGTCTTATGGGTTATGCCTGGTAGAGAGTTTTATACAAACACAGTTATGGGAATGTTGAACCCTATTTGGAACAGTGAAGGTGTCATCTTTCTAAGGAATTTACCTGATAAATATACATTCCTATACTTGGAAGTTTTGAGGCTCAATTCTGTGACTGATCCAGGAACCTCAAATGGGGTAGTCGTTGTAGGGAGAGCAAAGATACCATTGCCAAAGAACGTTAACTGTAAAAAATCAGGGCGCTTTGGATTGGTAAGGGTTGAAAGTGGACGATGCAAGGCTGAAGGTCACATTATACTTTCTATGGAACTCAAGCGGTGCAAGAATAAATAGACAGATGCTATTTCAATGCTCTATGAATCCCCTAATTAAAGATAGTTATGGTAATGATTAATGAACTTTTTTCATTTTCTTTTTAATTTCTGTGTTATAATTGACTGGGTATATGGTCATTTGCTTATGTTATCTCCATCAAGGAGTTTTAAAGTTAGAGTAAGTGCATGAAACCATAATTGGATTCATAGTTAAAGGGTGGATCTCATGTATGATTTTATGTGTGCAAGGTTTATACAATGCGTTTTTAACTATAGTTTTCATTTTGCGTTTCTTATCAGTTTGATTCTGCAGGTTTTCTTTTTGTATTTCCTATTCTCTCTTGCTAAAGTTGTTCCATCGCTCCACTAAACCACAATGTAAAACATGCATCTTGCCTACACAAGAACTAGAGTGTCTTCAGATAACTGCTTATTTAAACAATTATTTGATAATTTTTTTTAAACAGTGAAAATAACTTATCAGAGTCTCAAAATGTTTTTCATAAACAGTTCAGAAGGTACCCTAAACATGTAGTTGCTTAACTGTGACCACCACAACCCCTAGTACTGTGTTCTGTGTTTTTAATTTTCAAAATCACTACTTATGCTATGTTGGGATAGGGAAAGAAGGAGAGAGAAAAGAAGTAACAGGAATTTGGGATTCATCTAAAAAGAGGAGTAACAGAAGTTCCAGCTACTCTAATTTTGTATTTTTCACGTTCATCGACAAAGAGAGATTTGAATGTAATTTAAAGCATTGGCATATCTTTATTATGGTTGATTGCAACAGAAAATCATGATAAATGGATTGAAGTATGCTTAAAGCACACTCAAGTAGAACACATCGATGGTAGTTCTTTTTTAATCTTTCATTGGTTCACGTCAGTAGAAATTAGTGTTTTTAAAATTGAATCAGTCATTAAACTAGCGAAAGATTTGTTCATTGATTTAAGGTTGAGTCGAAATCAAAGTCAAACCAATAACAATAAAATATATATTTTTAATATTATATAATATATTAAGTAATAAATTAATATAAAATTAAAATAATAAGTTAATTAAAATTTAAATTGATATGAAACAATCATATTAATATTTTATAAGAAAAAATCATAATAGATATTTAAATATGTAGATATCATGTATGATTTTTTTTTAATATTTTAAAACAAATTAAAAACAAAAGTTTATATGTATTTACTAGTTAATTAGAATACGCTAATTGCATAAAAGACAGGAAGAGTTGTCTGGTTGGACCAATATTGTAGCAATTACAGTTGGATCTAACTCTAACCATACATGGGCCTTGTCGAGACAAGAAACCGACCCATACAATTTTGTTAAAGGCAAAAAAATATCATTCCTTCTGTTTTTGGTTCCTTTTAATATTTTACTAATTTTATAATTTTATTCTTAATAATAAAATTTATTTGAGGAGTATATGTATGTTGGGTCGTACGTCTTTATTAAAAGTTCTAATGCTTCTCTCACAAGTATATCTCCACGAACTTCTTTTTTCCAACATTTGATCTTATCAGCTTGCGAATTTCTCTAAATGGATTGATTGATGTCTATATTGGATATCCACATCTCAATTATTTTTTATTTTGCATTAGGATTACCTTTACATTTTTTTTGGTATGGCTAATATTTATATAATAAAACAAGTTCGCTGATGTAAGTGATAAACATGATAAAAATTGTAAGTTGAAATTTCATTATCACTGTTAATAAAATAAAAACAGAACAGGAGAGGATGATAGACTATGGACGTCTCTCACGGCTCTTTAAGGCAGAAGGGACATTTTGGATCTATATATATTTAATGGTAAAACCTATCATTTCCCCGTTTTAGGATTTGTAAAACAACTATTTGAAGAATATTAATTAAAAACTTATAAATATAAATATTTTATAAAAAAGTATTAATTTATATATTTTTATCATAATTTTTAACATTTTTCAATCTCTTAATTAATTTGCTTGTGCCATTCTATCATTATGAAAATTTAAAACTCAGTAAATTTGAGTTAAAAAATTAAATATTGAATACAAAAGAAGTAATGTGGTGTAATGAGAGAGAAAAGCTCGAAATTACAACCCTTTTATCAAGATTCCCCCCTTTACGTAATGTTTGACACATCTTCTCGTCTAAAAAAAAACCAACAAAATGATTGAAATTACGACCCTTTTATCAAATGCTCTTCTACCGCAGCCCATTAAAGTTGGGAGACCATTTTTTTTCGGTCTTTATATTTGTATTCGACAGGCACAAGAAACACTAATCCACAACCTTTTCACAAGAGTGCAGTTTTATTCATGGGACTGAAATTTGATTGATTACAATGTACCTGCTTAAAATGGGAAAAACATGTGTTCCAACAAAATCTTATATTTCCAAATGTACCTTATCTTATGCTTTCTGTATTGGGTTATCAATTCCAGTGAGAATGTTTTGGGTTGCCCACTTAGCAGACATATTCGTCAATAATATGAATCAGCATCTTATCGTTGTTCGGCTTTGACTATACTACTGGGTGTTTGATTCAGTGCCAAGTGCACAGAGCAGACCAAACTCTAAATATACCCAATTATTTGGGGACACAGATAAACTTGGCTTATCAACTAATCGAGTGTTCAAATGAATTAATAATCCCATCCTTTCAGTACATTGTACTCGTGAGCCAACAATGACACATTTTTTGTGTGTTTTTAACCCAAATATTATTAACAAAGAAAAGTGAGATTTTAGACACTCATACAATAAAGGAAACCAAGAGGATAATATCAAATATCAATGCAAGAGAAGATTAAATTGAAGCGAATAATATGACTATAATACCCGACTTGATTTTCCATTAATTTCAAAATAATTAATCATTCATCATAGTCACAGAGTTCGATAAGATTATAATATATTATAAAAAAATTTAAACATTTAATATAATTGCATTCATTGAAATAAAATAATTATATTTTTATGTTATGAATAAAAATTTAAAAAAATATTTTTAATTTTAATAAATATAATTATATGTAATTAAATTATTTTTATTCTATTGGTACTTTTCATTCAACTTAATTGAAAATACTAAGAGATGAGGATAAAATTGATAAGTAATAAATAATAATTTCCTAAATTTTAAAATGAAAATGATTTAAAACAAACCACGATTCCTAAAATAATAAGTATTTCAGAATAAATAAACCATTCATATGATTTTTATGTCTAATTATAATTAGTTTAATCTTAATTTTAGATACTCTAGTTTTGTTACCTTGTATAAATCAATTTAAGATGATGTATTTGGTGTTAATGTGGACCATGCTTTGTTGGAGATAAATTCAACTTCAGTGTATGAATTAGTACAATTATGTCCCTAAAAAGACAAGATTAGTTTAGTTCGAAAGGGAAAATGGTTCATCTAGAACATCCTAGAGGAACTCACACGTACAACTCAAATAATAGTTTTTATTTGATAAAAAAATGACATTAATTAATACATTTTTACCTAAATTTGAGACTTTTGATTAAATTGAAACAACTTTCGATCTATTAATATATGTGTTTAAGTGATATTTTATTTTTTATTTTAATATTTAATACAATATTATTTTTTATTTTTATAATGATGTAGATAAAAAAAAATCAATTAATTCCATTTTAGAATAAAAAAAAAAGAGAAATCTTAAAGTTACATGGCTATTTACAAAAATTATACAACTACATAAAAATTGTAGTAGAATAGTTATTCAAAATATCATTTACAATATTATATATATATATATATATATATATATATATAAATCAATCAATCAATAATAAATAAAAAATTATATTCAATGCTATAGTATTAATCTTTAATAGTTTAAATAAAAAATTTATTTCATAATTTTTTAAGTATATTTAGATATACAATCTATTTAATTAATTATTCAATAATTTTTAAAAAATTGATAGTTTGTGCTAAAAATTAAGGTTGAAACTTATTAAAACAAATTATAAATAACCTATAAAAAATATTTTTTATAATTTATTTATAAATTTGTTCAAACAAATTTAATAATTTTAGTATGTTTTAGAAAGTTTGTGCAATAATAGTCTCTTCTCTTATTCTACATTGTTGTCAGCTATTTACTACCATTTTCTGGATCAATAATAATATGACACCTAAGGAATAATTTCTCCTTGACCACGGCCCATGGGCCCATTTTTCTCTCCAACAGTGATTTCATCCTCCGAATAACAACGACACCTTTTCTCTACATGTCCTAATTTCAAGTGATGGGAACACTTACTTCTACCAACATTTTCTACTTTTAAATAAATTTTAAAAATTTAATTACTTATAATAAATTTAATTTTAATTTTAATGTCAAGTGAGCTATTCAAAATTTTTAATTATTTGATATTTTAATCGTCATATGTATAACTGCAATGTTGATTTACTATAATAATTTGGATTATGAAATAAAAGATTTAATAATGAATTTGATATTTTTTAAAGATGATAACGAAAAAAATTTAAGCATAATTTATTTTAAATAGTTAGTTATATTAGTTTATTACTAAAAGAATTTTATATACATAAAAATTTCAATTTAAAATTTTATTTAAATAATATTGAAATTTTTTACTCATCAGACTAACTTCTGTTGATTTAACAAAATTTATTTTTATATTAATAGTTATTTTTATTATTTAAGATTTATTAGTTGAAATAAAATATCTTTTAAGTTATTTTAATGAACTAATAAAATAAAAGAATGTTTATTAAAAATTTTAAATAAATATAAAATTATAAAAAATTCATTATTTTAAAATAAAACATATACAAAATATTAGAAGAGAAGGAGAAAAGATCAAGATACTCTAGAAATAATTTTGATAAATTTATTCTATTTAATAAATTTTATAAACATTAAATTTGACCAAATTAAATATTAAATTTAAAGGTAACATATATTTAAATCGATGAAATAATGCTTTAAATTTTTTTTATTAAAAATAATTACTAT